TCTTGAACCTAGGAGTCTGAGGTTGCTGTGAGCTAAGCTGACAGCATCACACTCTAGCCTGGGCAAGAGAATGAGGCTCTGTCTCAAAAAAAAAGTAGTCTCACAGGGAGAGTAGACTTACCGGACCAATTGCTTTCCTTGGGACTTGAACCACAGCATATTAAATGAGTGATCTTTAGCTAAAAGATTATGATACAAGATAAATTTCAAAAAGTCACAAGTAACTTAAGACTGTGTTCCCTGAAAGTTGGGCTCACAGCAGCCAAGCCAGGATTTCAATGCAAAACTTGCCCTTAGCCTCTAACTCAGGCCAGTTTCTCATATGGAAAGGGTACACACAACGAAGCGTGTGAAATATGCAAAGCATGAGGCCACTTATTTGCCTATCTGGTCTGCTCCAAACATGTTACTCACCTGTTTAAAAATCTCCACAGGTCTGGAGAGCCTGCAGGAAAAGTTCCAACTACGGAGCTTGGCACCTGAGGCCCCACCTGGCCATCTAACCACCTCTTCCAGGAGGTTATAGATGGCTTCCTGAGTGAGACAGAAGAGTTGGCATTCAGGGGTGGTACTGTCCAGCAGGACCAAGAAGAAGGCACACATTGCATATGACCACCCAGCTGCATAGATGTGGCATAGTAGATTCTGAAAGTATTAGATCCCAGTAGGTGCCATGGATATTGCGATTTTACTTTGAAGACAGAGAGGTAAAAGAATGGATAAAGGTGGACAAAAGGACAGGATTCTGCTGGAGAAGTAGGCTGCAGAGAATCAGGGAGACCCAGAGACCTTGAGCTCAAATCAGTCTTGTTTCTAGAGCTAGGATCTGCTTGGCCCTGTAGCTTTCCCATCAGATAGGCAACTAGATTGTGAGAACGTGGAGCTCTTTCCTGTAAGTTCCCCAACGTGCTAACCCTGCTAGTCCCTTTACAAATGCACAGCCTTCCTGGGTCTTTTGGAGGTTTGATCATTCCCCTTGAATCCTGTAATCCAACCACTTTAAAGTGCGTCTGCGACTCGCTCGGAGGCCCCGCCCATGACAGCCTCCTGGGCCTAAGTGCAGTTCAAGGTAGGACGCCCTACAGACCAATCCCGTTGCTATTCAGAGACAAATTTTAGGTCCCTGGCCAATCGTTTTCCAGGTACGACCAAGCCGCGCCCCATACGCTGCTTGCTGAGCTGCTGGTGTTCTCGGACCGATGTGGGCGTCCCAGGGCCGCTCTAGGGCCACAGCGGGGCGCTGCAGGCTGCAGCCCAGCCTCAGATTGGCGCAGAGCAGGAGGAGTCAACAAGGCCCCACCCTTGGGCCCAATCCCGCCCTCCTGTCCCTCCCATAGGCCATGTCCAAGGGCCCGCCCATTCAGCCTGTACAAGGGATGTCCAGTCTAGCCTTTCCTTGACTCATGTCACCCCAGCACCCACACCGGTGTGGCGTAGGGCAGCACAACTGGCTGGGCAGCAGGATCAGCAGGATCAGCAGGAGCCTGTGGAATCGAAAGTGGGACGGGGCTGGGTGGCTGGAACACTGCCCCCAGATCTTGGATGGGGTTCAGGCATAACCCCACTCCAACCACGCTTCAGATTCAGGAGTTAGCTTTCCCACTGAAATCTGGTGTTGGGGGCCATAAGCCACATCCTGTTCCAGAAATTTAACATAAAGACCAGGAACACTTAGAAATTTAGTCAGGGGGCCTGGTGCGGTGGCTCACGCCTGTAATCCTAGCACTCTGGGAGGCCGAGGCAGGTGGATTGCTTGAGCTCACAAGTTCCAGACCAGCCTGAACAAAAAGCGAGACCTCGTCTCTACTAAAAGTAGAAAAACTAAGACGGCGCCTGTGGCTCAAAAGAGCAAGGTGCCAGCCCCATAAGTCAGAGGTGGCGGGTTCAAACCCAGCCATGTCCGCCCCCCCAAAAAAAATAGAAAAACTGAGGCAAGAGGATCGCCTGAGCCCAAGAGTTGGAGGTTGCTGTGAGCTACCCTGCCAGGCAATCTACCCAGAGCAACAGCTTGAGACTCTGTCTCCAAAAAAAAGAAAGAAAACAAAGAAAGAAAGAAATTTAGTTAGGACTTGGAGTTCAGGTGCCTTATAGAAAAAAACCAGGGTGGATTTCTCTGCCTCTACTATACTATCTCCTTCAGCCAGATAATCCCTTAGAAACCAGGTGTACTGATCCAGGTCACTAGCTCACTGTGCTGAACCCTTACATATAAAAAGCAATGGCTATTTCTGGCCTCGGCCCTGGTCTACTGCTCCTTCTGCCTGGCAAACCCTTCTCCTCACTCACCATTCTGCTCAATACCCTTTCTGAGACCAAACCTTCCCTGTCAACTGTATGCAAAGCAACAGCCTCAGTTAATGACTATTCCATGGTGCCCCTTCCTCTAGGCCACAGGAATGCCCACTGATGCTCCCCTCACACACCATCTAACCTGTGTCCCAGCCTGGCCTGTCCAGCCTCATTTCTTCAGGCAAAGGTATTCACAGTGGTCTTTTCCCAGTGGCAGTACTGAGCTGGGAGCCAGATGTGGGTGTTGGCCCCTTAAACCCCCCAATCCTATAGGAGAAAAGAAGGGCAGAGCCCACCTACTATGGGCACAGCATCTAGGGTACTCTGACCTGAGCCTGCCTGGGCTGGGCCTGGCCCTGGCCCCAGGGACTGCCAGGAGGTGGGAGGCTGGATAAGCTTTAGGCCTAGAGATAGCCGTTCCAGGAATACATATGCACAGGGGTGTCCAGCTATTTTTCTTCTTCTTTTTTTTTAATTTTTTATAAAACCACATGTCCTAGCCAAACAGGACGTGATAGGCCCACCTCTAGACATTATGGCCTGAAGAGGGAGGCCCCCATAAATGAGCAGCTGCCAACCCCAGAAGAACCGTTTGCCCCTCTGCACAGGGGCCAGTGTGAGGAAGGGGGGTCCAGCTGGAGGCTCTGCCCTGCCCCCCAGCCGCCGGGAGAGAAGGCCAGGCCCTGGGTTCCTGATGCTCCCAATGCCTACAAGGGAAGGAGGGAGAAGAGGGTCTGAGGGGAAGAGGGAAGGCTAGGGCCAGGGATGGGGCACCCAGGGCAGACCCACAGTATCTCACCGAGAATCTGCAGCATCATTATCCAACCACTGTGCTGACAACAATGATGATTGCCAGTATGATGACAGTGATGGACACACAGATGGCAATCAAGACTTTCTTCTGTGGGAGAGAAACAGAAGGGTCAGGGAGAATCACTCAGGGCCACTTGGGGCTGGGACTGGGGCTGGAGCTGGGACTGGGGAGCTCACCTTCCTCGCCTTCTTCTGGTTTTCCAGGGCTATCTTAACGTGTTCCTGCCCACGTTCCACGTAGTCTGCTGAGCTAAGGATGTTCTTCTCAATTCGATTGATCATCTCCCCCTAGTCAGAGGATGGAGTGGTTCATGGAGGTAGGAATGACCAGGGGTAAGGAGAGGGGACCCAGGAGCAACTTTGCCCACTCCAGCCCCAAATGACTGAAGGATATTACTGGTGGGGCTGTTGGGAACACTACACTAACAAAGACAGAGGTAGGACCAGATATGACAAAAATTCAGACTCCCAAGGATGGCTTCCAGACTCCTCAATCACATGGTCCCTTCTCCCTGTTCGCTTGCCCTGTACAAACTTTATGTGCAGTGGAGGCTACGAGCTATATGCTTCATATGGCTTATATCTTTCACAGATAGTCAACTTCTTTTACCTTTTCTTTTTGCAGTTTTTGGCCGGGGCTGGGCTCAAACACGCCACCTCCGGCATACGGGAAAGGTGCCTTACTCCTTTGAGCCACAGGCACCGCCCAGATAGTCAACTTCAATCCCCCAACAAATCTGTCTGAATATACTCATTCTTCTAGATCTGTCTCCCAGCTGCTATGAAGCCCTCCCACTCCCTGCCTCCTCCTGGCACAACGGCCTTCAGGTCTTGATATTCTTTTTTTTTTTTTTTTTTGAGACAGAGTTTCCCTTTGTCACTCGGTAGAGTGCTGTGGTGTCACAGCTCACAACAACCTCCAATTCCTGGGCTTAGGTGATCTTCTTGCCTCAGCCTCCCAAGTAGCTAGGACTATAGGCACCCGCCACGACGCCTGGCTATTTTTTTCTGCAGTTTGGCCAGGGCCAGGTTCAAACCCCACCACCCACAGTATATGGGGCCAGTGCCCCTTGGTCTTGGTATTCTTTTTTTTTTGCAGTTTTTGGCCAGGGCTGGGTTTGAACCCGCCACCTCCAGCATATGGGGCTGGCGCCCTACTCCTCTGAGCCACAGGCGCTGCCCAGTCTTGGTATTCTTATTGAATGAAATCCCTTCCCCAAATTCCCAGCTTCAGAATGGCACTGGCTTTACCATAGTTGAGGCTAGCTCCTTTAGGCAGGGGCAGAAACTTATCTCAACCGAAACAACTAAGGTCAGAGGAACATGATCCCACCTCAACCTTGTACAAATTTTAGGAGGCAGACTCTCTAGGGGGCAACTTTGATGGGAGCTCTTAGAGGTTTAAGGGTAGATTCTGTTGGTGGAGGCAGCACCAAGGTCAAGATATACCTGGGGCAGGCTTAAGTTGGAGAATGAGTGGGGCAATGCTATAGATAAAGGAGTGACCATCTGGATAGCTGTGGAGGTGGGCACAATTCCAGGGGAATGGCTAAGGATGGAAATAAGGGCCATCCTAGGGGCATAGCCAAGCCTAGAAAAGCACAAAACCCTCAGGGAGAGAGTGTAAGGGTGGAAGTAGGCTGATACTCATGGCTGGCAGTTCTGACTGAGCACTTCTCAAGTCTGGGAGCTACTGGGGATGTGTACCTGCATCTCCACCTCAGTAGCTAGAAAAGTGAAGATCTCATGTAGTTCACGGATACTGCGTTCAAGCTGCTGGATCTCACTGTGCCTGGCTGAGATCTCATTTAGGGCCTGTCGAGTCACCTGCGTATCCTTCAGTATCTAGGAGGTAGACAGGAGCAGGGAAACAGTTCACTGGGGGCCCAGCAGCAGGTCAGAAGTTCCCAGTGAGTTTCTGGAGCAGCTGTTTGGTGTAGAACCTGAAGAATGACTCTAGGAATGCTAATTAATTCCTTCTTGGACCTGAGGCTACCCTTAATCAGAAAGGGTCAGGGTTCAGAGAGGATGGGAGGCACAGCAGAGGGAGGCTGGCTGTGGCCACTCACATTGGACACAAACACCTCACTCTGCCCACTGTCCAGCATCTGCTCCAGCTCCTCATCAGACACCATTCCAGCATTGGCTGTGAAGAGAAAGGCCAAACTCAGAGCTGGGTCAGGGTTACCAGACCCCGAGGGCGATACACCACAACTCACTAATCTTCAGTTGCCTCCGAATTCGCTCCACATTCTTCTCCCGGTACTCAGACTGCATAGAGTTGCACTTGTTGATGAGCTCCACAAATTGCTGGGACAGGACTCCATGCTGAAAAAGGAAAACACAGGTTGGGTACCCTGAGGAGGATCCCTGTCCTGTCTGGGCCTTGACCTCCCCACAGTACAGTGACAAAGTATCATGAGCTGTTAAGGGGATGGATTAACCATCTTTTGATAACCTTGACAGGTTCCCCCATTTCTCTCAAGAGTAAAAGCCAGAGCCCTTACCAAGATCTACCTGGTCTCATGATCTGCTTCTTCCCCCATTACTGCTCTGCCCTTACCTCCTCCTCACCACTCCACCTCCTCTCCCTGGACAAAGCACACTCCCCCATCTGGCCTCTGCATTCACTCTGCTCCTGCCTAGAATGCTCACTCCCCACAAACACCTGTAAGTGTTTTGTTCAAATGTCATCTTCTGAATGAAGCTTTCTCCATCTAATTTAAATTGCAACCCTATCCCCCTCCAGCTCTCTCAATCCCTCTTCTCCTGCTATTTTTTCCTTAATACTCATTGTGTTCTAAAATAACTTACTTATTATGGTGATTGTTTCTCCCCAGGAGAAGATAAGTTCCATGAGGATATGGATCTTTGGTTAACTGGTATATCCTGAACAGCTCTCTCAGGCACATAGTAGGCATTTAATACAAATATGCTGAATTCCAGCTGATGCCAACCTTACTGCTTAGACTAGAAGTGTCTTCCTATGCTAGAGATCAGGTCCACCTGAGCCCCCGACCTCTTATACCAATGACCACCACAGGTTCCTCTGAAATCCCTGCTCTGGGGTGTTTTGCCCTGCTTTGTCCCTTCTCCTCATGACTTAAATATGCTCATTCTGTGCAGTTCCTTCTTCAGAAAGATAGATGCACCATTTCAAGATGTGCAAACTGCTCCATCTCCAATGTGGAGTCTTTGCTGAGCTCTGGGCCTACCTTCCCCAACCCTGACCTCTAATAACTAGAAATCATTCTTCACTAGGCTCCCCGCAGAGACCAGTCAGATAACCTCAAATTTCCTTACTTAGATGTTGCCCCAGGGAAGGTCCTCTTCAGTGTCACTCTCTTCCTGAATTCTGCCTTTAGGGCTGAGAATGTTGCTGTCACATAGGCAGGAAATTGGCCAGTCATTTCTGACTTCTCCCTCTCTTTCCCTAGGCAGAGCCATTAATCCAGCAAGTCCTACAAGAGTAATGTCTTTGTCCCCTGTTCATCCCTAACTTCCCCTCTCAGCTTCTGGAAAAGCAGGTCTTCCGCAACCAAGCCTAGGTCATGTCTGGGACACAGCAATTTTTCATTGAATGGAAAAAAAGAAAGCAGGATGTTATAATGGATTGAGCATCAGGAGACCTGAATTCTTGACCTTCAGTAAGTTCTTTTTCTCGTCAAGCCTCAGTTTCCCCATTGGAAATCATCAAGTCCAACCTGATGATTTCTAAGGGCCCTTCCTTCATTCATCTGCCATCTAATGATTTATGAAACACTTACTGAAATGTCCCACTTTGGAAAAAAACAAACCCACCTGGGTTTTTCTCATTCTCGTGTTGATGGAGTTATAATTCTCATCAGCTTCCTCCTTCTGGGGCTCTATGGCTGTGGAAAGACACAAGAGTATGGGGAAACAGTGCTGACCCATGACTTCTGAAACTTATTTGGGAACCAGGACACTGGGCTTGGGTCATACCGCAGCCACACAATAGGAAGGTGTTTGTCTCCATTTTTTTAGAGACAGAGTCTCACTTTAACGCCCTCAGTAGAGTGCTGTAGTGTCACAGCTCACAGCAACCTCCAACTCTTGGGCTTAGGCAATTCTCTTGCCTCAGCCTCCTGAGTAACTGGGACTATAGGCACCCGCCACAACGCCCGGCCATTTTTCCTTGCAGTTTGGCCAGGGTTGGGTATAAACCTGCCACCTTTGGTATATGGGGCCGGTGCCATACCCACTGAGCCATGGGGGCTGCCCCCAGGATTTTTTTTTTTTTAATTTCAGGTTAATATGAAGATTTTCCATAGGATAGATTTTTCTTTCTTTTTTTTTTTTAGATACAGAGTCTCACTTTATTGCCCTCAGTAGAGTGCTGTGGTATCACAGCTCACAGCAACCGCCAGCTCTTGGGCTCAGGTGATTCTCTTGCCTCAGCCTCCTGAGTAGCTGGGACTATAGGTGCCCACCACAATGTCCAGCTATTTTTTGGTTGTAGTTGTCATTGCTGTTTGGCAGGCCTGGACTGGGTTTGAACCCACCAGCTCTGGTGTATTGGCTGGTGCCCTAGCCACTGAGCTACAGGTGTGGAGCCTTTCCATAGGATTTTTTTATTTTTTTTTTTTGAGACAGAGCCTCAATCTGTCGCCCTGGGTAGAGTACCATGCCGTCACAGCTCACAGCAACCTTCAACTCCTGGGCTTAAGTGATTTTCTTGCCTCAGCCTCCCAAGTAGCTGGGACTACAGGCACCTGTCATAATGCCCAGCCATTTTTTTGGTTGTAGTGGTCATTGTTGTTTGGCAGGCCCAGGCTGGATGCGAACCTGCCAGCTCTAGTGTATGTGGCTGGAGCCTTAGCCACTTGAGCTATAGGCACTGAGCCTTTCCATAGGATTTTTAAGGGAAATATGATTTATCATAAAATGACTAATTCTGAGCCTCTGACAGGAGAAAGTTTTTCTTTGCATTATTTTGTTTTGTTCTTGTTTTTGAGACAGTCTCACTTTGTTACCCCAGGCTAGAGTGCCGTGGTATCAGCTTAGCTTATAGCAACCTCACACTCCTGGGTTCAAGTGATCCTCCTGCCTCAGCCTCCCTAGTAGTTGGGACTATAGGCATCTGCCACAAGGCCTGGCTAATTTTTCTATTTTTACTAGAGATGGTGTCACACTTTTGCTCAGGGTGGTCTGAACTTCAGAATTCAAGCAATCCTCCCACCTGGACCCTCCCAGAGTGCTAGGATTACAGGTGTCATAGACCCTGCTCAGCCCTTACATTACATTAGTGAGTTACACAGGTATGTAATAGCCTCCTAAGGAAACCTCTATCTGCCTGCCCAAAGAATGCACAGCAGGCAGCAAGAATTGTAGAAGTGGGGAGAGGGAATTGGAGGGATCACTTCTGTGGTTTATCTTACAAGGGTACAGATAGAAAGGGTTTATCTTTCTAAAAGTAGAATATGAACGTTTTAACACAATAACTAAGAAAATGACATGAAGGCTACGTTAACCAGTTTGATGGAAGTGTTTCGGATTGTGTGTGAAAACACCACACTGTACCCCAGAAGTGCATTAATGTACATAGTTACCATTCAATTAAAAAAAAAAAAAAAGAATTGTAGAAGTGGTTTCACTGTAAATAAAAGATCCTGAGAAGCAGACATATGCTATGGAAAGTACAATAGACTGAAGGTCAGGAGTCAATGATGCTAGATCCAGGCCTGCTGTGTGACCTGGATATGTCCCTGGCCTCTCTGGGCAGGTATACCAAAGCAGGGCAGGATCAGAGGGAAGGATCTGTCTGAAGTCCTACAAGCTCACCCTTCAGCTGCAGCCGAATCTCCCTTCCCAGCTGTTTGATCTCGTCGCGCAGGTTCTGCAGGTCCTGCTTCATGCCTGAACAAAAGAAGCCATGAGTCCCAAGAAGCCCCTACCTCAACAAACCACCAAAGCCAACACCTGCAGAGGACTACAACCCCCACAATCCGTCGGGCTGAGCATGCGTTCTGCACTCGAGGTTTCACTCACTCTCCTCGGGAAGGGGCGTGGCTAGGATGGTGACCTGCTGCTTCTCCAACTCTTGGACTTTATTCTCCAGCTTGACAATAGTCTGCCGAATTGTCCGGACCTGGGGAGGGTGACCGAGAGGACTGAAAGAGATATGGAGTACTCCAGACCGCGCTGCTCCTTGGCTCCTCTCGCCCCCTCCCAAAGCCAGTCCAGGATGCTAGCCCCTTACCTTTTGGAAGAACTCTTCGTCCGGGCTCCCCAGCCTTGCGGTGCCTGGGTGCATCACCAGCGCGATCCGCTCCTTGTCTTCTTCATCCGAGCTGTCATCTCCCTGCTAGGGCCAGAGTCATTTGGCACCGCTTCCTTGCTGCGGCTTTCGACCCGCAGAACCCATAGGCTTCCGGGACTTTCCTTCCTGGCCATCAGCACCCCGTCCTGCCCCGAAGACCGGGAGTTCTGCTTTCCAGTCCGTCCGCCATTCCCCAACCCTGCTCCCCGACTTCTCACCTGTCTCAGTTCGTGGGTCCTGTCCCGCATGGCTGCCTGAGCTCCCTCTCCCCGGCGCCTGAGCCCCGAGGGCCTCGAGGTTCTAAGTTTGGAATTCCCGTACCCCACTCACTGACACTCCCCTCCCCCGCCCTACGGACTCCAACAACCCTACGAGCCGCCAGTGGCTCCGTCCCTTGCACCGTCCGCAGTCAATGAGAAGGAGCAGACCCCCGGGACCCCCGGGGTTCCACAGGTTGGAATTCCCTTTTCTTCCCCCCTCCCGCTCCCGTAGCCTCAGCCCCGCCCCTCTGGGACGATGAGGAGCATGCGCACGGAGTCGCGTCTCTTCCTCGCCTGAGGCAGAGGCGGAGGTTAGAAGTCGGAAGCTGTGGCGCCCCGAACGGAAGCGAAGCTGCCTGGACGTAAGACTCCGCCTCCTTTACCGGAACTGTCCCATCTTCCAACGAAAATCTGGTTGCCAAAAGTGGTGGGAATGCGTCATTTGTGCGTAATCTGAGAGACCCACATCTCACATCACCCCACGGTGCACCCCCGGGTCACGTGACCGGCCTGGTTCCAGCCTAGCGGACCGCAGAACGTGATGCTTTGACTGTCACGTGTCCTGGGTCTGTTAACGCCATCTCCAGGGCACCCTTCTTACGACGTCCCCAGCATCCTGGCGTTCGTGCTACACCCGTACAGCCCCCAGGAGGTGGGGAAGCGGGCACCGACCACCCCAAGACCTTTTGAGGCAGGGGGTGGACGTAGGACCCTTGCTAAACTCGCCTTTATTTATTTTGAGTCCAGTGGGTATGGGTAGACTGACAACTGTCAGCATCACGGAACCTTGAAAGTCAGGAAGTAATAAGATCGGAATCTTCAGCGTCAGAGAATTGCAGCGTTTTGTAGGCAGGGAACCTGGGGGTGGGAAATTACCTCACCCAAGCCAAGAATCTCTTCTCTGCATACTCCTTGCGCAGCCTCTGATAGACAGGTGGGCGGCCCGCACCCTCCTGGAACACTGCAGTCCTGCACTCATCACCTTCTGAGCAGCGAGACCATTTCAAAGCAGCTGAGGCTGAGAAAAGTGTATTATGTTGAGTAGGCTGTTTCCCTGCCATTTACACCCCCAAACCCCGACCTTTCATCTGAGGTCAGGGCATGACTTCGTTCGTAACTGAACCCCACCACCTAATTTGGTACCTAACACATAATGGGCCTTCTATAAATATTTGTGGACAGGGACAGAATTTTAGTCTTTCATGTATCTGAAGATAAAGGTCATGGTTCCCTGAACTTCAGGCTTCAGGCTTTCTCACTATGACACTTCCCTAACCTTCTAGATAGTTAATTTACTGGATATTTATTGGACACTTACTGATGGACTAGACACTGTTCTAGGGGCTGGAGTTACAACAGAAATACCTGCACTTGTGTAGCTTACATAGCCCGGGCGGTGCCTGTGGCTCAAAGGAGTGGGGCACCGCCCCCATATGCCGGAGGTGGCGGGTTCAAACCCAGCCCTGGCCAAAAACTGCAAAAAAAAAAAATAAATAAATAAAAAACACATTATATAGACGTCCCCATGGTTATTCGGTAAGTCTCAGGATATATAGGAATGAATATTAGGTCTTCCGGATCCCAGGGCTCTTTCCGGGAAGCTTATGAGAAGGTTCAAGCAAGAGAAGGAATAGTCCCTCTCTAGTGTTCCCTGGTCAGGAAACCTAAATTCCTGTGACTGAGTTGCTATGAATTTCCAGAAAGTTGCTTTTTGTCTCTGGGCCTTGATCTCCCATCAGTACAATGGCTAACAGTAGGAGGATAAGGGAATTGTTTTGGGGGGTATTCTGTGCTGTAAAATTCAATGATTATGAGGTTGGAAACTGTCAAGTAATGTCTGATTATATGTGAGGGGTTTTAGTCCTTCTCTTCCCTTAAAACCTACCTTGCCTGGGATTGGGAGTAGGATGGTGTTGCCCTGATCAGCCCACAGATGGAATCCAAAGTTGGAGAGCTTTTCAGAAGGCCAAGCCCTGCCCAGTGAGATCATGAGGAAACATTTCTCTGCTCTTCCATATGAGACTCTGCCTCTCCTATTAACTGCCACTTGTCTCCTAACTCCCTGTACCACTTCTCTCCACCACCACCTGGACCCACCTCTCTCTTTTCTCTCTGTCTCTCTGTACAGTGGAAGGGCTGTTGGATGCCTAACTCCAAGTCTTGAATGTGATTGTGGTCTTAATTCATTGTTCCTCTCTGGGACTCAATTTCCCCATTTGACAATTTGGTTGCATAATTTCTGCCTTGTCTAAGGTAGGAATGGAACAATATCAAGTGAGTTAGAAAGGATGTAAACTGTTGAGGGTTCTCCCCTCTCTGGTGTTTTACTGTGGGTTCCAGCTCTCTTTGGACCCACCAGTTCCATCTGCCTCTTTCTGGTTCTAGCCTCTTGATGACTTGACTTCTTGGTCCAAAGGTACAATCTGGATTTATTGGTGCCTGTTAAACTTCTCAGGATCATGATATTTAGTGCTTCATTTGTGGTTTCTAGGCGGGATTACAGGGCTTTGGAACAGTGACTGAAGGTTGCAGAAGACTGGACTCAAAGCCTTGTGGTGGTGTGGAGATGGCAGGCCATTTGGAGAGACTGGCTCAGGGAGCAATCCAGAGCTGAACCCTTTGTTCATCCCAGGCCCTCTGAGCAACTTTGAAATGTTTATTGTGTATATTGGGTCATGGATGTGTAGGCATTGCAAGGGTGTATATTCCCTTCAATCTGTGTTGGTGTTAGGGGGAATATATTCCTTAACACTACACTATGATACCAGGAAAATATCAGCTAGGGGTATCTCCCCGTGTTCTATCCACTCTTGGGGACTTGCAGCCACCTGTTGATGCCCTCCATTGGATTATCTGGGAGAAGGAGGAAGTAGACTGCCTAACCCACTGAATTGTCTCCTATCATGGGGTCTGTCTCCCATACCTGCTGGGTTGGAGGTTACTGCTGGAGATGTTGTTGGTCCTACCTGCTCTACCTGTACCCGGTCCTGAGGTTTAGCAACCTGTCTTGTCCTCTCTACCTGCAAATCCAGTCCTGCCACCATTGGAGCCAAATGACCTGGGCTAGAATCCCCACTTACTAACCTACTAAGCAAGTTGCTATGAAGCAAGTTACTTAACCTCTCTATGCCTCTGTTCCCATTTGAAAAATGGTAATAATAATAGTACTAAAGTCATAGGTTACTGTAAGAATTAAATGAGATGACATATGTAAAATTAACAGAACAGTGTCAGGTATGAAAGAGTGCTGTGTAAGTGTTTGCTGCCATTATATGATGGTAGTGATGATTATTACCAAGTATTTCCGCGGCCCCAGTGTCTCTACCAGAGATTCCACTCTGCTGCTAGTTCAGGGTCTTCTTTCCCCTTTCCATCTCCTGAGCCCCACTATGTACAAGATCCTAGGCTAGTGACCTTCCCAACTCATGCACATCTCTTAGGCTTCCACTTGGACCTAATGTGCCATAAATTTTGCTTAATTATTTACAAAGTGTCTGTCATCACCACTCTCCCTTGCCACTGGAATGTAAGTTCCCTGAGGACTATGATTTTCACCTATCTTGATTTTCACTGCTATGTCCTCAGCAGTCAATAGAGCCTAGCACATAGAAGCTGGTTGATAAATATTTATGAATGAATGAATTCATTTCATTTAATACTTACATGGCACTTATATGTGCCCAGAACTAATACAAGCACTTTAAATATATTAACTCATTGGCCAGGCACAGTGGCTTGCACCTGTAATCTTGGCACTCTGGAAGGCCTAGGCAGGTAGATTACTTAAGCTCAGGAGTTCAAGACCAGCCTGAGGAAGAGTGAGACCCAGTTTCTAAAAAAATAGCTGGGCCTTATGGCTGGGCTGAGTCAGGAGGATCCCTTGAGCCCAGAAATTTGAGATTGCTGTGAACAGTGACCCCATAGCATTCTAGCCTGGGGCAAGGGAGTGAGACTCCCCCTTCTCAAAAAAAAATTAATTCATTTAAACCCTATAACAATTCTATGAGACAGGTACTGTTACTGCCTTCATTTTACAGAGGAGGAAACTGAAGCACAGATGAGTTAAGTAACTTTCTTAAGGTTACACACCTAATAAATTAAATAGCCAGGATTTGAACCCAGATAATGGAGCTCTAGAGTCTATACTCTTAGCCTCTACACTGTGATCCAAGGACAATGCCAGCTTAGGGTGCCTTCCCCTATTTCACCCACCAGCCACCAGTTGATGCCCTGGTTTGGATTATCTGGGGGCAGGAGGCAGCAGACTGCCTGTCTGACTGAACCTTCCCCATCCCTGTCACAGGGTATCTCACCCACGCCTTCTGGATTGGGGCCAACTGATGGAGAAGCTGTCGGTCCTCCTCCTTCTCCCTGCTTGCTTTGTCTCCAGGAGCCAAGATACCCACATACTTCTCACCTAAGGGCCTCAGTTCACTCTACAGACATCTCGGATGCTGTTTCTGTGCCAAGCCTCAAGCACCATGGAGATGCAGCTCCCATAGTTCTTTCCCCATGAGCATGTTTTGGGCGTGAACTTGATTACTTCTAGAGTTCCATCTAGGACCTTTTCTTCTTCTTGTTTTTTTTTTTTTTTTTGAGACAGAGTCTCACTTTGTCACCCTCAGTAGAGTGCTGTGACATCATAGCTCACAGCGACCTCCAACTCCTGGGCTCAGTGATTGCCTCAGCCTCCTTGCTCAGTGATTGTGTCAGCCTCCCTAGTAGCTGGGACTATAGGTGCCCACCACAATGCCCAGCAGTTTTTGGTCTGTCTCTTTGTTTAGCAGGCAGTTCAAACCTACCAGCCCCAGAGCAAGTGGCTGGCACCCTAACCACTGAGCTATGGGCACCCAGCCGACCCTGTCCTCTTCAAACTAAGTGACATCCAGATGCTGGCTTCCAATTCCATATCTCTGGCCCAAATTTTTCTCCTGAACTCCAGGTTCCTGAATCCACTAGTCTCCTGTATATCCCCTCCATTGGCATATTAAGCTCAGTGTGTCCTAAACAGGGCACATCACCTCCTCCTGAAAACGTCCTAAACCAGCTTCTCTTCCTCCTTTGTTTCCTCTCCCTGTGGGTGATACTGGATCACCCATGGTGTAATTTTGGCCTAGAACTTTATTCTAAGGTGCTGGATCATGCAGTTTGTCTGGATGAACTTTATGAGAAATACTAGAAAAAAATGCTGGCAAAATCTTTATAACTCTTGGATTGAGGAGGACTTTTCCAATTCCAACTTATAATTCAGAAGCTATATAGAAAAGATTAATACATTTGTCTATATATGAAAATTATACATGGCAAAAACAAAAGTAAAATCATAAATAAAAGACAACAACAAATTGGGGGGAAAATGGCAATTCTAATCTCCCTACTATTTAAAGAGTTCCCACATATAAGCCAAGCGTGGTGCTCACCCCTGTAATCCCAGCACTCTGGGAGGCCAACTTGAGTAAATCGCCTGAGCTCATGAGTTTGAGACCAGCCTGAGCAAGAGTAAGATCCCATCTCTAAAAATAGCTGGACGTTGTGGCAGGCGCCTGTAGTCCCAGTCCCTCCTTACTCAGGAGGCTGAGAAAGAGAATCACTTCAGCCCAAGAGTGTGAGGTTGCTGTGAGCTATGATGCTACAGCACTCAACCAGGGGCAAAGTGAGACACTGTCTCAAAAACAAAAAAATAGGCAAAGAACCTGACAGTTAAAATATATATAGGGTATATATATAGGGTAAGTAAATAGAATCATAAATAGAATTTTAGCTCATCACATTTGCATATGTATGAAATGATACGTACAGCCAATGTTATTCATTGAGTATTATTTGCAATAATCATAAACTTGTCCGTCAGCAGAAATAAGACTGTCCAAAAGATTTAGGAACCTCACTAAATATAAATATAAGATCAAGGTGCAGGCCAAGTATAGTGGCTCATGCCTATAATTCTATACTTTGGGAGGCCATGGATGGAAGATTACTGGAGGCCAGGAATTTGAGACTAGCCTGGCAATAGAGTGAGATCCTATTTCTACAAAATATATATCTAAAAAGAAATCTAGAAAAAAAGAAATCTGTAGCTCAAGCAGCTAAGGCGCCAGCCACATACACCTGATCTGGCAGGTTCGAATCCAGCCTGGGCCCACCAAACAACAATGACGGCTGCAACCAAAAAATAGCTGGGCCTTGTTGCAGGTACCTGTAGTCCCAGCTACTCTGGGAGGCTGAAGCGGGTGGATTGCTTGAGCTCAGGAGTTTGAGACCAGCCTGAGACTCCTTTTTTTTTTGAGACCGAGCCTCAAGCTGTGGCCCTGGGTAGAGTGCTATGGCATCACAGCTCACAGCAAGAGAATCGCTTAAGCCCAGGAGTTGGAGGTTGCTGTGAGCTGTGACGCCACAGCACTCTACCCAGG